CAGGTCAGTTCGCGAAAATTTTATGCGTAACGAAGGTTACCACCTGACACGACTGCGAATCGGAGGATGTAGACATCATTCAGCGCTAAAGGGACAATATGATGCCAGCCGTTCATACGTCATTTCTATATGAATTTATCATGAATGCATTTCACTCTTTGTACACCACTCACGTTTCGATCATACCATCGAGAGCTCGTCTTCGCAACCATTCTTAAAGCGTATCAGTTGAATAAAAAGATTCGATAGGGAAAGAAAAAAAGTTTTGAAAAAGCATAAAGATTTTTGCAAATTATTTAATGCAAAAATAATAAGACGTATTAAATTTTTTCCTCTTTCCGGCACACCGTGACAATATACGTGACGCGTGATCAGGAAAGCCTGAGGGGATCCCGCCTCCTAACGGTCCGATGCCCGGCATTACTATTTGATGAGATAAAAAGCGCCGCTGTGGCCTCGACTCGTGAATTTTTAAGGGAGCCTCGCAGGTACCGTTACGTTTCTTGAGTTTCCGAGGTTAGGGGGTGTCGATACCCCTGGGGATGCCACAGTAGTCTTCTGTCTTTAATATTTCAGCACGGTAAATTATACGATTCCTCATCCCCTCCTTGCATATGTTGATCTTTCACTCTCTCTCTCTCTCTCTCTCTCTCTCTGACGTTAATACTTTGATCCGCGTACATGTTTTTCTATTTAGCAGAAAGTACTCATAAAGTATGTACTGTTTTTATTATTTAAGTAGAAAGATAACTCTAATATCATTTATTTCTAGATTAAAATCGTTTCTATTAAAGTAAATTAGAAGATTAGTTTAGTGATTCACTGATGTCTCGAAATGAGTCATGTTTAGGGATAATTACAACTTTGCGTGTCTTCAATGTTATGTTTATAATCGCTCGGCGCCAGTACTATTGGGAGCAATAAGTAGCAATAAGCTGAAAAGGAGAGAATCAACGGCGGCATCGACAAAGGCTGAGGCATGCGAATGGTACAGTCTTCGTTTCAAGGAAGCTAATCATCTGCAAGCCGTTTCTGGCATACTGCAGAAATGCATGCTCACGCACACACAGAAATTTTCAGTGTGCACAAATTGCGATGATGATTAAGCTCGAAGCGTAATGAAGAAAGAAAAGGACGGGCAAACGAACGAATGAGAGTATATGAGCAGTGACAACCTTTGGACGCTTCTCTGTCGTAACACCGTCACCTTACCAAGAACTTAATCAATCCCCGAATACTGAAAGTCTGGAGCCGTGTATTTCAGTAATTCGTAAGCCTTTCAACGGAGGAAACGAATGAGAGAGGCCTCCGCGCATGAGTATAAAGAATCAAGTAGTCGAAATGGAACGTAAACTGGTGCAGATGTCTCTTTCTTCATGCAATTTCAAAAGACTGTTCTTGGGATTTCTGTGTTATTTGATTAATCGAGTTATAAATTTTTTAATAAAAATTATCAAAATTTCTACAAACGTATACTTCTATATTTCAACGTAATAACGTAGAACGGATGCGTTGATGAAAGAAGATAATGTAACATCCTATCCGGAAATGATAGTAGAAAATCTGCAACAGTTCAAATTCCCGGAGTTTAGAGTAGGACACACCGACAGGCGAGAGGTGATGGGAGATATTTCTGTTTAATAGTCGACGTATCACGCCGGTAATGGAAGTCGAGGCGTTTGCATGCCGGGAGGCACGCTCTGGTGCTATAAAGTTAATGGCGTCGTAGGCGGTGCGATAAAATGATGCATCGCGGTTTGGCGACAATATTATTGCCGACAGCTGCACCTACGTGTATATTCCTCCTAGATCTCTAGCGCTCGAATTTATAATTCACGAAGGACCATGCATACATGTTTTTTGTTCCAATGATTCTTCGATGGGATTTTGCCTAAACTATAGAGGCTGAAGACGTAAATCATTATACGATTTTGATGAAATGCCACGTAAGAGCGGGATCACAGAGTCTTGCATAACACATAACGCATAGGAAAATGAATCAATTAAAGTCCTTCATTTCTTTCCTTTCCATGAAATAAGAGAATCTGATTGGTTAATTTTCTTATGCTTTATGCATTATGCAGAGATCTGTGCTTTCGCCTTAAGATCGTTACTAACTACATACGTGACCGAACATAGTTGTGTAATAATGCCAGTTAATGGCTGCATTCAGCAAAGAAAACTGATCAGTGAGCGCTCAGTGATTCTTCATTATAATTGGTTTCTACACTTAGAGCCAGTGAAAAAGGCAAGAATCAATCGTATCAAAGAATCACTGAGTGCTCACTGATCAGCTTTCTTTGCTAAACACTGCCATTATGTCTTAACAGGAAGTAGTCATCTTATTGTTTTCTTTATATAAATGTCACCTGAGGTGTTTTTTACATCCCAATTAAAATCATTAATACATATTGCATATTATCGATTGCTTTTCAGTTTATTAGTGTTTAAAAACATTATGAAAATATAGATTCAATTACAGTTTTCTTGAAAAAAGTAAGTAAAAACCAAACAAATATTAAACAGAATAAGTTAGGTAACTTATTATGACAATATTTCTCAAAAGTAAGATTTTAATTAATATAACGCTTTTTATTTTCGATGAAATTGCATGTTTAAAGTTCCATAAAAAATATAGTTATTAAAAATGAAAGATTTGTTAAGCAATATCTATACCAAACAATATTTTACAAATCACATTTTTTTTACCGTTGGGGTGTAAAAACCCGGATTAATTCCCGGATTAATTAAAAGCAAATACGAGCAATTCGCGCGTTTAAATCAAAATACTTTACATACGCGAGATTGGCTTTAAAAGTGGCATTACACGTTGTAATGTTAACGTATTCTACGAAAGAGGCTGGAAAACTTTCTCTCTTTCTATCTCTCTATCTCTCTGTCGTAATTCTCCGATCATCTTTCGCTATTTCTCGCAATCTTCGCACTCCCATCTCCGTGCCGGGTTCGCAGACGGATTGTAATGATTAGTATAACGAGGAGATCTGTAAAAGGAGCTTACGAGTATAAACGTGGATACCGGGAATTGCTCCGCTTTTAATTACCGCCAGCTGTGTACACCGTCTTAATGCACTGCGGTGCTTAACGAGTAATACATCGTTATCAACGCTTACGCGAACGACGAGGAAAGCTTGTAACTGATTTTAATGGTTTTCCAAGGTGGAAGTCATATTTGAGCCAATCCCGAATCTTCTCGAGCAACGGTGAGAGACAGGAGCCAGATCGAATACGGATCGATGGAGGCTCGGCAAATCAAGGGAAATAATACAGGCGCGGGTCAAATGGAATAAGACAGTTGCGAGTAATCCGTTATCACTATGCTATTATTTCGTGTAGCATACACGCTCATCGGAAACTTTGAGTCGAAGTTACCGCAGTGATAAGCGCGCTTATTTACGCAGAGCTAGACGCGGCGCTGTTTGTAAGTGGATTATGCTTATAATAGGGCATTCCAAGTCCGTTCTGAATATTGCGATCATGTATATACCATACGCTGAGGTAAATCATGTTCGTATCCACTTCAACCGCGTCGCCTGGATTCTCGCCAACGTACATCCTATCCGACAAATTGTGCATAGGATGTGACTTGCAGAGTTCAGCGAGTCGTATGTATAGAAACAATATTGTATATTTATCTGCTCCGCAATGCGGGGATTTCAGTGCGTTACGATTGGCGAGGATTATTATTGAGTTCATTCACTTTAGAGTACAAAATTGCAAACGGACGCTGCATACGACTGATACGTTCTCGGTTTACTATCATGATGCATCACTCGGAGGATTTCTCGAGAGCGGAGATGAATCACAGACCTTGATTGTGCCCTGTGGAAATTGCTATGATTTAACGTCCTATGTTGTCTACTCTTGTCCGTGACCATTCGTCCAACGCTCAACGATTCTTTCGGTAATTTATTGGTCGTAGATCAACGTCGGGGAACGTTGTTTTGGCTCACCCTTACGTTCGGTCGGGACAATGTCGAACATCGACTCCGTTTCTGGCTGTGACATTCCCGTGGAACGGCACGCGGCGTCCGCAGGAGATCGATCGTTAGGTCCACGTTTCGGACGATTGACCTTGCAAGCGAACCACTTCCTACGCCATGATCGCATTCTATCGACATATACATAGAGCGCATAGGAAGAGGTTGTTGCGCAGCGTGATTGTAACAAGTATATTCTTGCACTTTTCCTGAATATTTCATTTTTCAATATTTCACGTAAGGACACATTCCAGGATAATGTAGAGAATCTTGCTATTATGAGACAGAATCGTATCCAGAACAACCATAAATCCATTTTAAAAAAGAAAGGGAAAAAAGAGAGAAGGAGGGAAGAATTTCGTTTAGCTTTTCCCGCGTGAAAATTTTCTCTTTGTAAATCTCTTGAATATTGACCTTATTCTGATGTATTTTTAGCGTCTTTCTAGCCGTGTTACGAGAGGCTGCTGCGACAGTGGCGTAACACAAGGCAAAATGTGAAGTATGCACTTCTACAACACTTCTTGTAAAGTCGAGCATGTCGAGCGCGTCCGTAAGAAAGCACTTACAAAGAGTCCTGCAGATTTCCCTCAAAAAATGAATAATTATGGGGTCGCTTTCGAAATAGAATTCTCTTTATTCTTTCAATATGAAATATTCGAATTTTTCGGAGGATTTATATCTTCGAAGACTTTACAATAAATGTTATACACATGCGTGCAATAAATCTTCCAAGTTTTCCAATAAATTTTGTTTTGATTTACAAGACAATGTGATATAATTTATGTTTTTTCTTTGTTGCAGAGAGACGCTCTGAATCTGGAACCGAGCAATGTGGCAAATTGCGTGTCCAAAGGCAAATCAGAGGTAGGTTTCTTTCTTACAGTTCGGTTTGCGTTCCTTTTCGCATTGCGCGTCGTCTTTGAGAAAAATTTTAATTCCGGTACCAGTAAACTGGCCTGAATGCGTCGTGAAACAGAAAGGCCAAAGAATTGTGATTGCAAAAAAGATATAGAACGTAACATCGAGGAGAAAAAAGTCACAAAGCCGACGTGGAGTTTCTTTGAAGACGCGCGAAACGAAAGATGCAAGCTTACTTTTTAATAGATACTGTGGTGTTATTCCATATCCGAGAGAGAATGTATCTCATTTGTATCTTTAACGCAAAGGGATCTTATCGTAGCATTCTTCTTTCCGAATAATCTACACCAACTTCTACTGCACTGCATCTTAATTTCTGAATTATACAAGTATATTAAAGTTCCGTTAGTTAATCTCTATCTTTCTTTATTTCATCTATTTTAATCAGTTACATTTTAATGAATCTTGGCATACAAATATTGTAACGTGAAGAAAAATCGTACGCGTGATGGAGTTTTCCCAAATTATCGTATCTCGGCCGAAAATTCAAGTTAATCTGGAACTCTGATTTTTTAACGCGCATCCATTTTTATTCATATCCCGAAATCGTGGTACTACAGCGATAAAACGAGCACGATTGCGTTCTGGTCCATAGACACGCGTGCTCGCGCGCGCTTATCACAGCTTCATTCGTATGCACCGTGTACGCATCGTCGTCGAGGTGTAAGGTCCACGCAAATATTCCCTACGTGACGACAAAGCCAATTCATTTCCCGTGCACCGATTCGCCGCGAAATACGCGCACGACGTGATCGACCGCGACGACTCCACCGCGCACGCGACGCGATCTTTCGCTTTCCCAAAGTTCGAAGGAAACGCGGCCGCGTATTGAACAACTCATTTACGCACTATGCACTATGTCTGCAACGATTTTCTTATCGCCAATACACTACTGAATTTAATTTTTCCGATTTTTTTTTCCAGCATTTCGACTGCCGAAATCATATAAGAGTGATACAGCCGATGGGAGACGGCAATCGCCTTTACATGTGCGGTACGAACGCACATTCACCTAAGGATTGGGTGATTTATGTAAGTTTCCATGTTATTTTCGATAGAGAAAATATAAAACACGTATATGGAAAGGACAATTTTGCTGAAATAGTAATAAAAATTTTTTGCAGCAAGATAAAGATTTGAAAATAATTTTGTTGGCTCATCGAAATAATTACGCAGGAATAATTATGCATGAAGAGCAATGCTGTAAAAAGTTTTGACATTCTAGCAACCAGTTTGAGCGTTCTGAAATAATACATAATTTTTTGATGATCGAACGAAGTTATTTTTCAAATCTATAGCCATCTACATTTTTAGATATTTCAGCAAAACTATTCTTTCTGTGTGTAAATGTGGATTTGAGATTGTACATGAATTATTACATATCTTATGTAAAATGTAATCTTTAAGTGAAATGAAGTATCCAAAGATATATAATAAATAGACGATTAAGATAGTCTATCTTTAAATATCGTCAATCACTAAACGTCATTAAACTTCTCAGTTATAATATGAGGAATTATTTTTATTTTCTCAATAATATTGTAGGATATTAAAATAAATACTACAATTGTTTTCTCACATCATTCAATTCTCTTTTCCTTTTATACCTTACAAATGCAATGTATACTAAATAAATTCGTTAAATTTGATTTTGTAATACGCGACAGTTTGTGATTGGATTGTGAAATTGTTAAAAACGACAATTGGTCTGGCAAAGAGCTAAAAAAAAATATATATATATATATATACATTTAAACGTTTGCTGTCATTTGTTTATTGAAAATTGAAAATGCGAAACGATGTTAAATACATCCGCAACTTCCCTTGAAATGTATTACGGATTCAGCGTGATATGTGTAACGCACACCAATTTGTGTTGCTTTACGCTTAATTTAATTAATTAATAACAGAACGCGAGGAGGCATCTGAAAATAATATCGTTAATTAATTTTCGCGTTATGAATAAATTTCACCGCCACTCACGCATTCCTCGGTACATTTTAATTTAATTCCCGTCGAAATATTTAAAGCCATATAATGAATAATGCTGTTATTAATGGAAATTTACATGCATTATCGCAATAGTATAAATCCGCATGATGTGATTTGCAAAGTTATGTACAGTGCAAAGTGTCCGGGTAGATGAATGAATCTTACGCTTAAGTATCCGTATAACAACACGACAAAAGATACAACAGTTTCGCTTTGCTAAACATTATGAGTCCCGGGTGTGCCGTAACATCTCGCGTAATAATAACATCCAGCTGCTTACCTAAGTTACTGCTGGAGATTGTAGCTACTAAATAAAGTTAAATTACAAGATGTTCAGTATTCATCGAATATGGCCAACCCTGTATATGTATATATATATATATATGTGTGTGTGTGTGTGTATAGAGGAAAGGCCCCTATTATAAGATACCGAGTTCATTTTGGGTAAATGCTAGAAATCCAAAGACAGAATTTAAAAAAATAATAGTCATTTTGAAGAGAATTTAATAAGCTTTAAGATGATGTTACAAAATTTAATTCAAATTCCATTTTTTTTTAAATTAAAGAAATGTGAGTAAATCGCAAAGTCAAAAAATTGTGCTCCTAATATGAGATGTCGAGATTAGACGCCTATCTCATTTTTAATAGGGGGTTTTCCTCTATATTAAAATATTATAAACTTATTATACAACATGCTTTAAAATTATTTCTTTTGTTATTTCTTTTATCTACGAATTTATTAATCAGCTTGAAATGATATTTTTTGAAATTGAACCTTTAAGTGAATAGATGAGATGGCCACAGCACTCCAGGTATAATTTTCTTTAAAATCTCGTTTTAAAGAAGAAAAGAAAAATGAAAAGCACTGCCTAGTGTCCAAAAGTCTTAAAATCTTTATATTTTTACATTTTTTTATCTTATAAAAATGTAACTAATATAAATTCGACATAAAAGTAAAAACCTAGTAAAAAAACTTATAAAGTTACAATCTTTTTAGGAGCATTATATCTATCAATTTGCATTTTAAACCATCTATTTATTGAAAGGTTAATCAATATTTATAATTTTCTTGTGTAAGACTTGTGCCTTTTAATTCACCCCTTTTGTTTCTATAACATCTTATCATCTGTGCCTATCTGACCATGTTCCCCAAATAATGTTCTTTCCAGAGCAATCTGACTCACTTACCGCGCCACGAGTTTGTCCCGGGAGTAGGAATGGGTATCGCGAAGTGCCCTTATGACCCTGCGGACAATTCGACGGCAGTCTGGGTCGAGAAGGGCAATCCCGGAGACCTGCCAGCTCTTTATTCCGGCACGAACGCCGAGTTCACCAAAGCCGATACCGTAATCTTCCGCACGGATCTCTACAATCTGACTACCGGTCGTAAGACGTATAGCTTCAAGAGGACACTCAAGTACGACTCCAAATGGCTCGATAGTAAGTACTCTTTTCACAAACGATATCATTAGCCAAGAGCTTATAATAATTAAACTTAATAGATATCTATATTTTTTTATTGAATCGAAGATTATATTCAATGACATTGTAATATTCGAATACGTGTTCAAATCTTCGATGTAATTTGGAAGTATTTTTTGGAAGCATATTTTCTATAATTACGTCTCTCCTACTGATAGATATCGATCGGTACGTCCATCATTATCAAATATACTTAAATCTCCGCAGTTCATAGAGAAACCTTTACTGGAAGATAATTACGGTGTGTCGAGGGAACAATGAAATTTCCATTAGGCTTAGAGCGCATAGTATTAATAGAAAGAGGGGTCGTCCTTGATCGGCTAAAAACCGAAGCAGGTCTTCCTGAAGAAATCATGCAGGAAGGGTGGTGCTGCTTAGGAAATAGACAGGGAGCTTTGAAGTAGAACCCCCCGTCAGCCGGGAACACGCTTCGGGTTCAAATGGATGCGAATAAACTGCCCCGCCTATTTTCCAAGGGTACTACTGCCCCTTCCTCGCCAACGACGAGGAGGTTCTCGCGCAGAAAAGCAGAGGAACGACGGCAGGGGTGGGTTAGAAGTGGAATTATAGGAGTTTGGAGGGCGATGTCGGCGCTAGGTTCGCTATCGGACCGGTTAGAGAGGGTGCCGGATCTTTCTCTCTTTCTCTACAAACGGGGTAATAAAATAACACCCCGACGCGATCTTCCTCGTCCTAAACGCTGCGTTCTCGACGAAAGTACCCTCTCCTTTTTCGAGAAAAAGAAGAGAAAGCGAGCCGACTGAAGAAGTTAAAGTTTTCTCGTCCGTCCGCCGGAAACCGCTCTCCCGCTTTACCTCGTCTCAGTCCCGCGTAGTTCGGAAGCCTGAGCTTTAATCAGTTTTACCGGCTCTCTGATTCGTCGGCCGGGATTATTGCGATCCTCTCGATTTTTCGTTATCGGAACGTGGAACGTGAGAGGCGCGGCAAAAGCGGCCCGGCAAGGAAATTGGAAAATGTAGATTAGGACGTGCGTCGAATATAGACACACAATCCGACATGGAATTTAATAGCGTAACTCGCGGGAGGTAGGGGTGTAGAGCGCGCTGATTTGCGATGATCAAGTGTAAATAGAATCCGATTCGTTAGGTTCATCGGTCGTGACGGGACACGAGGAATACGTCGAAATTTTAGTTATACGAAATTTAGTTATACGACCATTTAATATCGAAATCCTGTTCTATCCTTTGACTGTCTACGTTTTAAAATGATTGTCAAGAAAGTCTTGTTCCACAAATAGTTTACATTTTCCATTGAATATTATTCGTTCGTTAGTTCATCAAGTCAAATGCAAACGAAATATCTATTATATGTAAATTCTTAAATAAATATTTTTTATTTATTAATTATTATAAAAATTACTTTTTTTTTCGGTTGGCGAGAAAATAAGTTGTCCGGATAAAAATTAATTTTAACTTGGTCTTTGTCACAATCCTTTCGCGGCGAGCGTTCATGCACGATATATCGGACCGTAATAATGGCGCAAGAAGGTTAGATGGCTGCTTTGTATTTCTCGAGGGGGCTGCTTCCGCTTTTCCTCACCCTGTCGAAGCGTGCCACCACTCGAGCCCACTCCTTCAACCGTCGTCGCCAGGAAGGAAGGTCGCGGTATCGAAGCGGCAAAAGCCGGAGGGAACGGTTGGACGACTTTGTCCCACTTTGTATCCTTCGCGCCCTCCCGCGGGACGCATGATTAGCCATTTGTTTCGTCGTTTAATTTCGAGCCAGCAGCCCTTTCGCTTCTCTACCCCTCCCTCCCTCCCTCCCTGTCTCTCTCTCTCTTTCTCGCCTCTGCCTATTCCTCCGCTTCCTCAAGCTGCCAGGAGCCACCTCCGTTTAGACCCTACAAGCAAGACTACTGAGCGCTACCATCAAGGACCATTCTCCGCATCGAGTTTGTCTATTAACAGAGGCGTTGATTAAAAGCAGGCGAGAGTCCCGGAAGAGACGGATGGGCTCCACGCGCGCTTCTCGTATAATCTTCGCGACTCTCCGACCCTTCCTCCTCGTCGACCTTCCTTCTCCGCTCATAGCTTCTCTTTCTCGCTTCTTTGGTTTACTTGGCGGCATGGCAAGACGCAATGAAGACTGATGCGGTTCGTGGTGCGAGGTCATGATAAGGAAAGCCGGCTCCGAGAGGGTAAATCGCAGACGGAAAGGGAGACGAAGAAAAATAGGGAGTAGAACGCAGTGGACTTAACAAGCTTTGAATAACTAGCTGACGAGCGTCTACTTTCACGGATCCTTGCGCGTGCGGAATGTCACTGGAACATTAACCGTCTTCTTTTCGAATATCCGATGCATTTAAAATGTGAAAGTCTCGTTTTGTCGCGATGTAACGAGACGCTCTTTTTTTGTAAGTATAAGAGAGCACTTTCAGTGTTCGCGAACTCCGTATGTTACTCGTCAACAATGGGGTGCACAATCAAAAGTCATCTCGCTATGAGATGCTTCCACATTTTCTCTTCGTAAATTATTTCTCTCCTTCTCGCTCGTCTCTGTCTATCTACACGGGCTTGTACCGCCCCAATATATCAAACTTCCGCCGTCGAAGCGTCAGACAATCGATTTAATCGCTGAACCGTGAGAGAGATTGCGGCGGCCTCCAGCCGAGCGCCGTCGCATCATAATGTAAAATCGACAAGAAAGGCCCAGCCCGCGACGTTGACGCGATTCGAACGTGGAAAAATTCGATTTTCTTCGCCATTTTCTCGCGTCATCCAACTCCAACTTCATCGTTGTGTGGGATAAATCAGTTTCCTCGGTACAACAAGCAATTACACCAAGATTAAACCGCAACGCTTGCATCGAGCTACGAATAACGCAAATATTTGCGCGATTTATGCCATGGCACATATCGGACCTGAATCTAGTTTGTAGCCAAACCACAGATACACGAAAGTCGTTGATCGAAAATCGACAAAACAGGTTGAAGTTGATTTGTAGTAAATTATTTCCAACTAAGCGGACTTGTGTAGTAATTACGTGTAATATTTCTTAATCGATATCTCGAAAACGCTCCCTAACTGTGGACTCACTAAACCATTGAGAAATTCATTGTTAGATATTAAAGAAATAATAGTAACACAATTTCTCGAGTTAATATTTTGTCATTTTTAACTTCCTGGTATGTCAAAATGTAAATCAATACTTTCTGTGACTGAATCGCTTAGTTTTAAAGTAAACAATGTCTATATTACATATGACACTTAAATAATAAGTTGAATTTAATACATTTCTTGAGTTTAATTGTTTAACTTCATTGTTTTAATTAAATTAACAATATATTGAACAGGAACAGTAACAACTTTTAGATATTGGAAATAATTTTAGAAGTGATTAAAATTCAAATTAGGTAGATATAATTTGACAATACGAATTTAACAGTGTTATTTCGGACTCTTTCTTTGCGCAATTTATCCAAAAATAATAATAAATTCTTATAATTCTACTACGCGAAATTCAGTAAAACCGATTTAATGGCACTTCTCACGCTGTGCAGCTTTTCGAGCTGGATGTTGATGAATTGCAATTTAATTTTAGTTATTTATAATTTTAGTTATTTGACGAAATGAATTTGAATAAATTTATTATAAATTAATTTAACAAATAACACGAGATTGCAAAATCATTTTTCCACTGAATTCAGACTATTTTCCATGAAACATTTTCAAAGGACGCAATTAAAGTGCATTATTTCTAAGCTCTGCTATATAATTTCGTTTTTTATCCTCCCTTCCTCTTGCTTGTTCTTGAAACAGGCACAAAATAATACCGTTGCCTACGAACTGCCTGCGGTTAAACGGAATTCGGAGGAGATTATTGTCCGCGTTTGAACAGAGCTTGGAACAGTCCCGGCGATGAAAGTTTTTACGCATAGAACGAGCAAGGACATCTTCTCGTGTACCACCCGCGGCGAATACTCGATTCGCGATTATTATTGTGCGCGCTTATTGCGGAGTATCTACGCGAACTATCTGCTCTAGATGCAGTTATTTTGCTGTAGAATGAGGTAGACGCGCTAACGGCTAGATTACGCGACCATATAAACTCGCCAGAATATTCTGGTTGAACAGTTTTGCAACTGCGAAATATCGTCTCAGCGAGGGAAACGTACATAGAATTGCGAGGAACAGATTTCAAAGCGCTCGAAAATATCAGAGGATTAATGCTGAGATAATATCACGCCTCTTTATCTCTCTTTCTAGAACCGAACTTTGTGGGTTCGTTCGACATTGGCAGCCATGTGTTCTTCTTTTTCCGCGAGACCGCGGTCGAATACATAAACTGCGGTAAAAGTGTGTATTCCCGCGTGGCGAGAGTTTGCAAGAGGGACACTGGCGGTAAAAATATACTCTCGCAGAATTGGGCCACATACCTCAAGGCCAGATTGAATTGCTCGATACCCGGCGAGTTCCCGTTTTATTTCAACGAAATACGTGAGTATCGGCATATATGTTGTACAACATGATATCTATATATTTTTGCTTTGTATGACATATTTTTTTATAGTATAAATTACACTTTCCTTTCCACGTTTTTACCACACTTAGAATTTAGTGCTTTTAACCCTCCGCCGGCAACATTAATTTTAACTCTTCCGTCAGCACAATAGAGGATTTTTGAAAAACAGAGCAAATTTTTTATTGTTCCGGATTATCTAAAAATTCTGATATATTAGAAGTCGGACTGCATTTTATTTATTTTTTTTACAGATTTAAATTTATCTATCAAAATTCACAATCAAAAATATTGATGGTGCTTTTAAAAATCTCAATTTTTTCCCGGCAGAGAATTAAAGATTTTTATAATTATTTTTTTTCTTACATAAAAAATGTTATGATAAAAATGTCTCTAATCGAAATGATATCTGATATTACAAAATCTTTATTTTTAATGGGAAAAAAACATTTTCGCTGTTTTATTACGTTCACATTCTGACTCATATATTTTAGCGACATGTAATTATATTATTGCGTTCTTGCTCAGAGAGCATTTATAAGGTGCCGGGTGACGATACGCATTTCTATGGTACCTTTACCACATCGACGAACGGATTAATGGGTTCTGCGATATGTTCCTTCCACATTGACGCCATCCAAGAAGCTTTCCGCGGAAAATTCAAAGAACAAGCAACTAGCAGTAGCGCGTGGCTACCAGTCTTGTCCAACAAGGTTCCGGAACCGCGTCCGGGCCAATGTGTCAACGACACAGAGACGTTGCCGGACACCGTCCTGAATTTCATAAGGTCCCATCCACTGATGGACTCCGCGATTTCGCACGAGAACGAGAAACCGGTCTTCTACAAGCGGGACGTCATGCTCACGCGATTGGTCGTCGATAAGTTGCGCATCGACTTCGTGGGCATCGATTTGGATTATACTGTCTACTACGCCGGCTCTAGTAAGTAAACTATCGAATATCTGTCAAGATGAATAGAAACGCGACCTGATAACTTATTGTTCTCCGATAAAAATGCGTGAGCGCGTACCTCTTATCGCGTGTTACAGGTGATGGCCGCGTTCACAAGGTTGTACAATGGATCGACAGCAATGGCGAATCCCAGTCGATCTTGCTGGATGTTTTCGATGTCACGCCTGGCGAGCCGATACAGGCGATGGAGATCTCGAAAGAACATAAGGCTCTCTACGTGGCATCGGATCATCGGATAAAGCAGATCGATCTGGTAATGTGCACTCGACGATACGACAACTGCCTGCGATGCGTCCACGATCCTTACTGTGGATGGGATAAGGACTCAAACACGTGTAAACCTTACGAACCAGGGTAAGTGCTCATCGCATTCTCCGTGATCGTAAAATAAATTGCGAGTACACACGCGGAGTGCAATTTATAATCTTTAATTTTACGCAAGATGCATACGTATTATAAAAAAACAAAGAATAAAACACATTCAATTTTCGTCATAATTTGCTCGCTTGATTACGATACGCAGATTTCGGAGCAGAAATATTCGCGTCGATTTTACGCATCGTATATTTCAGTTACCGCAGATTCATTTCCGTCCGGTGAAACGAAATACTTTTACAAAAATAAAAAAAATAAAATAAAATAAAGGAAAAAAGAAAATTGCAGCTGACGAATCAAAATTCAATTTCGAAATATTTCGGAATAAAATCAACGGCAACGTGAATGTTCGAGATAACACGCGACAGAATTATTGCGTGTATAATCGTGATTTCTGATTGATTTTTTTCACGCAGTCTTCTTCAAGACGTATCGAACACCACGGCAGACGTTTGCGACAGCAGCGTCGGCAAACGGAAACTGGTTGTCACGTGGGGCCAGTCGGTGCATCTGGGTTGCTTCGTGAAAATGCCGGAGGTCCTGGCGAACCAAGAGGTGCGGTGGTACCATTACAGCAAAGAGAAGGGAAGGTATCAGATCGCGTACAAGTATGGCGCCGGCGGCGACAAATTCATCGAGACCTCGGAGAAGGGTCTGGTAATCGTCGGCGTGAACGAGCAGGACGCCGGCAGATACGACTGTTGGCTCGGCGGTGCTCTCCTGTGTTCGTACAACATTACTGTGGACGCGCACAGATGTTCGGCGCCTGCCAAGTCCAACGACTACCAGAAGATTTATTCCGACTGGTGTCACGAGTTCGAGAAGTACAAGTCGGCGATGAAGAGCTGGGAAAGGAAGCAAGCGGTAAGTCGATTCATCTTACTCCTCCTCGGATCAGTCGATATAATGTCGATAGATATTTCTTCAGTTACCGGGAGCGAAATGACGTTGTTGTATATCTCAGATATTCATATCATCGTCTTTTAATATATATATATATATATATCCTCGATTATTCTACTTACTCCTATAGTCAACTGACTCCGGTCTCTCTTTTATATATATATATATATGTATATAGGATTGTCATAAACCGTAATCGAGCCATTCAAAATTTGCATTGCAAAACGATGTACAATTCAGCAGATTCTACGTATATTCAGTTATCTTTATATGCATCGGAACGGATGGATGAAAATTAAATATTTATCATGAAATTACTCGATGTGAGGTAAAGTTTATTGTGGGAAAATATACCTACGGGCGTATAGCTGTAAATCGATAATATGTATCGATAAATATAATTGCATTTGATAGCCGGTAAATGAGAATTACTCTGTGATTGTTCCAAATCGTTCGTAATCTTTTATGTATTACGCAACGACAACTCTTAACGCATAAAACAAAATCAATATAATTTGCACGACAGAATTATTAATATGGTTAGCCGATTTTACGCGTTTACTCTATATAAATATTTGCGCTCAAATTAAGGCGATCGTTAATATTTTATTATATCGTATATCATGACGGATGAGTTCATAATAATCTCTTATAATTTACATGAATATACCGTATTAAAATCAGTCATGATCGATTGTGAAATTTATTTATATTTACTTACGCGAATTGATTTCACGCAGCGTAGCGATCATCTCTAGTTTCGAGCACGTGGTACACGAGGCAACAATGTTGTTTAATACAATACATTCGGGAATCGAGATGCAACTCCCTTTATAGCATCAACGTGCGTGCTTTCTCTGTTACAGCAATGTGCTTCGAGGCAAAACGACAGCAATCAGAATTTACACACGAACGAGGTGTACGGCACGCCCCTCGTCTGATGGAGCCGATCATTGGGTCCCTCGTCGAGCCGAGATTACGATGATACGATGATACGCATAAGCGTCCCACCAAGGAATCGCGGCTGGACCACGACCGGTTGGATCGGCCTGGCCTTCTTGTTGGCCGGTCACGCCACCGCGCTTGGCCCGCTGGTCACTCGAGGACTCTTAAGTGACTGAAGTCGGTCCGCGATTCGCGAACCAGTGAACTGAATAAAAGGTGTGAAGAACGTATGATCGATCGTGTATACTGCTATCCACGTGCCACGGTGCCCGAGAACTTCTCGTCGGCGCTACCGATCGCGAGTGACCATCGAGTTTATTGGCGGTCGGTGACCTGCGAGAACATTCCAGTTCCATTCTCGTCGCGCATCCGATTTTTCATTACGTATATATATATGTATACATATGTATATGTATACATATATATATATATATATCGTACTCGTCTCGCTGTAAATAGACGTGTCGCGTGCTATCCGCGAAAGTGAAACCGGATGCTGAACGCCGCGAAAGGAGCACGAGGACAGCGGGACGATCCTCGGCTCGGTAAATTTCGATACGGTTGCGCAATCGCGCGGAGTGATGTTCCTCGGGAGTGAATGAACGATACCTCTTGTGCCGAAGAATCATGAATAAAGTCCTGATTCCTCTCACACCTGGACCGATCGATGCTGCATGGAGAAACGCGCAGTTTCCTTTCCTTGAACTTATAATTAATTTTGTGAGATGGGGGGAATTTTATGTGTACATACGATATTGAAGCCTCATTTACGGAAGACGACACAACATTGATCGTGATATCATCGTGACCAAGATACCGATTGATCGATTACCGAACATCAATATTAAGCGGTGCGTCAAAAGGAGAATGGCGCGTTGAACTAACAGTTGTTTTCGCATCCGGAAGATAGAAACGAAGTCGAGATGGAGCTTCCCTACGATGAGGGTGGGAGCATCGATTGGAGAATAGTCGCAAACGGCCCGCGAGGCTGAGAGGAAGCGGTGGCGTCAAACGAGAAAAGAAAGGTAAAACGTCGTGTTAGAAAGGAGAAAAGAAAAACGAAACGTGACCAACCGCGCGTTTACGACGTCACGCAGGTTACATATGAGATTATTATCGGCTTTAGAGACCTTTATGCGAGCCGCTGCTGCGCTGCTGCACTCGCGCGACGCTGGTTAGCTTTCCATATCACGTTCGCCGCTTTTGCGGCGCGCACACGCCTATTTTCTACCTGCACCCTTCAGACCCACCCACTCAGCCCTCGTATCCCTGCGCACCTCCGCGTTTTCCTTCATTTTTCCCTTCATATATCGCATCTCGACGATCGCGCGAGCTACTGCCTGTTATCTTTTGTTTGGGAGAACCTTCGTGCCGTTCTGATCATCACCATTATTCTTCATGTACCTACATGAAACGCACAGCGAAATGAGCACACGATGACGCCGTGTTTTTATCCCCGCATATTCGCATTATGTCGACAAAAGCGCGTCGTATTCGCGTGTCGTTTCGTGTCGCGTGGAACCCTCGAAAAAATCGACATACTCCAGTTCGCGAGGAATCACTACCACGAGTACCTTCATGACGCGTCGTCATCGTCGAGAACTAAACATTCCCTCCCCGTTCCCTCCCTTCGAATCAAGGTGCTACGCGGGTTTATTTCCTTCAAAGGAAATCGGTAAAACCCGTGGTTTCAGATCCACGTTATACGTTTCTTTCAAACGCACGTAACCCCGTCTGTTCTTGTTTTTTTTTATCCGATCCTTTCCTCACAGACACACACGCGCGTGCACGAGAGAAACGCGTTACGAGCGATTAACGGCGATCGTTATGTACGCGCTCGTGCACTGTACATAATACCGGACTTGGTAGTCACGTGTACACATTTTCCGCTTAGATAAGTCTAATATTAGCGTAGAGGATATACATATTTGCTTATAAGTTTTCGATGAACATGGCCGGAGAGATCTCTCGTTGCATCCTGCGGTATCGCTGAGTAAACCGGAGTAACGACCGCCAACAAAACTAAACGCGGTGCTGGGGAACATCGAGGCGAGCGATCGTTTCGACGACTTCCGGACTTGAGGTTGCGCGGGCTATCGGAGCTATTGCATTTTTTATCCATGGAACACGTACATCCTTCGGCATTGAAAAGCCTACAGCGCGCAACGTCCGTGAAGTCTGCTTCGCCCGAAAACTGAAATTTTGGCATATTTGCTGTTATATTTGGTTTATCTTAAGATATCAAATATTATACATTGATTATTAGATACTTTTCTTTTTTATTTTAGTACCGCTTAGCTTTCGTTACGTTCTGTTTCATTATATCGCTCGAGAGCTTCTTTCGGACATGGGAACGGGCGTTTCCGACTTCGTGATTATCTGTACATAGATAATAGCGTTATATTTTTATAAAAACGACAGAGAAGACTTACTGCTAAAAAGCAACGGTATGATTTTAATCTATTGTTAGTATTTCGACTATCCGCATTCAGTCAAGTTGATTGGCCACAAAAAAATATCTCTCGATCTCTGAATAAACAAATGTTTTTCAACGAGATGCAAACGAATATTTTTTGACACATACGAAAATGACAGAAATTCAATTTTACCATGCTTCATCGCTAATTTTGCAAATACATACGTCCTCGTTTAACAATCGTCCATGAAAATATGCAAACTCGCACTATAGTGGAAATAGCGTTCGTGTTAGCGTCCGTCCGACTTTTCCTCGGAGATCTCGACATACATTTTATAATCAACGCGACAACAAATGTTTACCGGTGGTCATTTAGCGCGGTTTGTCAAACGATCGACGTATCGAGATAGCACCCAGCCAGCCATAATCAGCACACGTACACGTAGACTATAAAGAGTAGTAGGGGAGGTCATGACACCTTTCTAAACACGGATTTTAGTTCCCTCAAGTAGTTGATCGCATCGATGATAGTTTCGCTTTTACTCTTAAGTTTGTACATAGACATTTATATTGTAACATTCACAGTATCCTCGGTAATACAGCAGCGCGGAGATGCCCGATCGAGCCCTCGATGGGCGCGGCTGTTATTAACTTCTGTACAGAGATCGTCGCGATTGACGATTTACCTTTTGTACCTATAAGGCTCAACCTATACGAGATTGTATGCGATAAGAGAGAAGATTCCTCCAATAAGGAAATCGCTGGAAAAATCTGAGAGACCGAAGTAGCGGAGTTGTACCTAAACAAGACCTAGGAAGATATAAGAGAATAATACAATAATCTAATCCTCGAGTATGTACTTATTATGAGCTTCAACAAGTATTGAATAGTATTATGACGTAGGATTAAGACCGAATACACATTAGAGATAAAATCGAAAGACTTTCGGATCGAGACTGAGCTAGTCTCGAAGTCGCGCGGATCGACAAGGATTCCGTTGATCTTATGAAAGTTTCGTTGCTTTTAAAGATTCTTACGCAGGATTTTTGCGTTTTGAACAAGAAGAAACGGTAAGCGGATCCTCGACGATCCGTTCGGTCCATTTGTATCTACAAATCATCCTTAAATTTCTCCAGTCATCAACCGACGTCCCGAATCGTAGTAGATCGCAGACGCGTCTGGATATAAAGATGAGCAGAGAAAAGCGATTGAAAGAGGGTGATGGGCGAGTGCATTCATGTTGCGTGTGTATGCGTGTGTGTGCATGCGTACGATTGCATGATGTCACGGATCGATACGTAAAGAATAGTAAACCTACCTATCGCATATTTAAAGAAAGTTATAAAAAGAGTAAAAGCAAACGTAATATTACGATAGAATAGTAAAGTACACGAACTTTGGCTAAGAGCGCCTTCGTGCAGTCCTTGCGGACCATGTCACGTCAATCGCGTGTTTACGGTAATGGAGAGTGGGAAGGAAATATCGATCGCGAATGATGGTCGCAGTCTTGCCAAGAAGTGCGAAGAAGTGCGTGCCCGATGCGAGTGCACGAAGGCGCGCTTCGGGTTGGAGTAGGCGTGATCACGGAAAGCAATCTAAGTTGAACTAAAAGTTGTTAGATATATTATTTGTAAGATTACTGTATGTTGCGTGAATGCGATTGATGCGGCGGGATATCGCGAGCGGAACGATCGATCGGCGACGTAGAGGAAGGTAGCCTGCCCCGCCAGCGAGGCAAAGTAGTTTCGCCGCTGTTCGTCGAGACGTGAGCTCGAAACGCATCCGAACGAGAGAAAAAAAAATAAATAAATAAAAGATCTCGAACACTGCCTGCGAAATCCTAATCGATTATCCCGCAACGTCGACCGCGAGAAGGCGAGATAGACTATAGACTCGGTTTAATGTATGCGATACGCGAGACGATTTTGGGTTGACAGCCCTCGTGGTTAACTCGTGTAAGGGAAAACGTAAAGGGGGGAGAGAGACACCCTAACTGAATAATTAGTTACGACGACATACTACTATGATAGGAAGAAAGGAAAGAAGGATAGACCCGCGATAATGATTTATTAAAATATATCACTAGGACTAGCCGACGACTGTCTTAGGTTTTCAAGTATCGGAAGCGTAGACTCGTTTCTCGGGTGGTGTAGCAGAGGGAGGGTGGGACGGGGAAGGATTTGCTACACATGGCGCTGCGTGTATCCTTTACTTTTTGTATCCTGAAGATTACGGACGCGGAAGAGAGGGAATGACACGGTAACTGATTTCCCCTTAATCCGTTAACTGATTTCCTCTTAATTTCGCCCGCCTTTCTTTCCGCTCTCGTGTCACCGGCGCCGTTTTTCTCCCGTTTTTCTTTCCCCCTTTTTTTACGGATATATCTTGCCTTAAAGCAGAAAATTGGAGCGATCTCGCGCGCGCGCGTGAGATTAATAGTTCATTCGTATCGTGGAAAACTCATCCTTCATCATCGCCGTATTTTTCTTCGTTCTTTCGGTTCGCTTCTTTTTTGCATTCTGCTCGTTCCTGTCGACAGCAGAGCGATCAAGGGTGGAAATTAGGGCCAGGGCGGTAGCGCGCTGTGAGTCGTTTTGAAGCTCGTAGGAGCCGATATATCGCTTAAGGGAATTCAATTTAGCCGCACGGTGTAAGGGACGGATCCAGCATCGCTCGAGGTAACACCACCGTACCTCGGCATGCATCGGCGCATCGGCAGTTTTGTTTATGGAACGTAATCGTGAATATCGATCTTCCTCCAAACGCCTCGCCAAACGTTCTGTTTGTTCGCACCGGGCGATATGTTTATCGATTAAATCAATTCGGCCACACGCGTCATCATGCGCTTGTCCGAGAACAAAGTGGCTTTTCGGAACGCAAAGTATGTTGGAAAATTTTATCGTGGGATAAAATTAAAATTTTTATCATTTATATCATAAGGAATTATCTTGTAAATTTCTGCAATCATTTGAATCGAGGACGAAAGCGAAATCCCGCTGAATATGCCGATGTAATTTTAATTGCGTTGTACTCGATCATATGCGACACACGATCGATCGATTCACGGTACGCGCCGCCTAAAAATTCAGAATTATCGACACGTATGTGCGATTATCATGTGCGTTAATAACACGACCGTAGGTAATTTTTAGTTCAAAGAATTTCGTACGATAAGAGACCCTTTTAGATATTCACCTATTACCTAAACCTAAACATCCAATCGCTATTTTTATCAAAAAAAAAAAACATGTTAAAAATCTTTAATAGTTATCCATTGTTCACTATTGCTATAATAAAGTTTTGCTTTAATAAATGATCGATCTGTATATAATTATTTTACACATTCATGTCCCAGATCTTACAAGACTACGTGAGAAGCACTATATAAATTGTAAGTAGAACTTTAAAGATAGATACTTGATACACGTAAAGCCCTCTTTTATTGAAAAGACAGGCTACTTATAGACTTTATTCAAGTCTTCAAATAATAGAAGAAGGACACCAGAAGAAATACGCCAGAAACCACAGGTAAGTCCAACTCTTGTAAACAACTGATCACGGATGCTTTCCAGTTCGTCGACGTTGTCGGCGACGAAGAGAGGCATGAAATTCGCGATTTCGTGGCGCAAAATGCAATCAGCGGACTATGAGAAAAAGGATTGAACGCCGTCCGAAGCGACAGCGAACAATGTACTATTGCGAGTCTCCGGTCGTTTCGTTCGAGCATCACCGATCGATACAACAACCTTAATGTCGGTGTATACTCTCCATTTGAATAATTACGTGCGATTACGGACTGTACGGTTTACATGTAGCGGCTATAGAACCCTAGCTGACGGACGTCATTGGCGTCCGACTTATTGTTAAAGAGATAGACGCTTGCGTCATACGTTGTACGAGCCAAGGTATTTGTGATGGGGTTCTTGATCTATTGTGACGTCATCGGAACGATACCGCGTCAAACGTTACTCTTTCTTCAATGCACACTTCTTCGGAACTCCGTGACGTGGGCCGATTGACTTCAAAGGTGTGCTTTGCAATGTTACCGCGCTTTACCGCGGTCGGCTGCCGGGAAAGGGAAAGGTCGTGGGAAACATGCATGCAATGTTCCCTCAAACGGGGTTGAATGTAAAGCCGCCCTGAAATCGACACGCCTCGCCGGTACGATGTTTGTAGTATTTAAAGAACAACTGCACAGCTTATAACGCGATGTATGTCTCTGCAATTCCGTCAGACATTCACGTAATTTTATCCTTTACACACGTCTTTCGGACACACGTACTTTTGCAAAAGTTTCAGCAGGTGAATGAAGTTCAATGGCTGCGTTCAGCAGAAAAAGCAGCTTTGCAACTGTTGCTAAATTCTTTAGTGTGATTGGTCTTGGTCTGATTCTTCACTGAATCTATAAATATATAATCCAATTGTATTAAAAAAATTTCACAACAGATGCAAAGCTGCTTTTTCTGCTGAATGCAATCAGTGATGCAGCAGTAAGCGAAGAATTTCAGTTCTCATCAGTGTTCTCATACAAAAGAAAAAAGAAAAGAATATCAGAGAAGATATAAGCTAGAAAAAATCAATTCGACTTAGATCGTATTTCGAATACAAAATTTCTAAACTCACACGAAATTCAATTTAAAAATCTAATCCGATAAAGCGATATATCGACACGTTGCACTGCTCGGAAGTTGCACTCGGTCGAATGAAGTCTGACGGGTCGTATTAAATCGGCGCGAGTCTATTGATCTTAACTTTGTTAGCCATGCCAAACGCCGATGAAAGATATATACATCGGCGTCGATACGGAGATTGAGTTCGACCATCGCTTGATGGTTCGCGCGTGTTCCATAAGTGGTTATAGTTAACGATGCTTTGCTGTCGCCATTAAATAAAACGCATTCTGGGACTGCCAGACTGGATGGTGGATCATTGACTGGACGGTGCATGTCGATGATAACAAGCGATATCTGAGTGCGTAGCGTAAACTGCAAAATGTAATTGCCGTCAAAGCGGCGCGTTTATAGTCGTCTTTATCACTTTGCCTCTACACCAACATCCTTTGTGAATATTTCAGGTATCCGTGGCCACTATCCAAGTTTTAATGGAAATGCTCTATACGCTTTAATTAACTATTACGAACTATTCGAGCACCGAACT